AATACTTCTGCTAAGTTGATTTGGGCCTGGAGTATTTAAAATACATTTCTGTTTCCCATTAATGGGATGACAGCTTTTGTTTATGAGACACTTTTGAGGTTAAATACTGGAGTGTAGTCAGGCTGGCTGTATGAGAGAAATAAATGTAGTGCACAGTGAAAAGGAAGGAGCCTTGTGCCCAAATTCAAGTGACTAAAGCGTACAGAAGTAAAGGCAGCAGAAGCTGTCATGATTTCTGCTTTCTTTCAAGCTGCCTCCAATACATCTGCTAGGATCTACCTAAAGTCTGTGGGGACCAACTGATTTCAGTTCTGGCAGGTAGTCAGTGGCTTAAATGGAAGCCATTAAGTTCAGTAAGTGATCCTACATAAGTCTGAATAAGGGCTGCTTCTGTTCAATTTGTTTCTCTGTGTTTCTAGAAAATGAAGGGATGAACGGGTAAAAAATAAGGTCACAAAAGAAGAAAAAAAGCATGCAATTCAGGGAAGAATACGTTTTCTGGCTCATACTCTAAAGATGACTATGCTTATTTTCTCATGGTAATGAAGGCGTCTGCTCATGTTCATGCCCTACTTCAAATTGCCTGCATTATCCAAATGTTGCCTAGTGCTCTCAACTACATCTGTAATGAGTCAGCTGGTGAAGCTGGGAGAGAAGAGAGTTAAATTCTGGTATGGCAAACTTCAGCCAGCGTTTATACGAGAGAGTAAAGACATAACTACCCTGTCTTTTCCTAGGGATGAAGGGATATTTACACTGCTTGCTGCCCAGACTGCTCTTGACATGACTCTGGAAGAAGGTTCATCTCTGTAAGAGCCGCTGTTTTCCGTCTTTTCATAGGCCAATATCTTTGCACAAGATGTTTGGTTAGAAAAAATGCTGAGTTAGAGTGCAAAGTTGCAGGGTACGAAAGGATAAGAAAAGTGACAGAAAAGGCTGACTGCAACAAATACTTTTTTCTATAACAAAGGCTACTGGGGGGCAGGGGAACTGTCTCACACAGAAAGTGATTTAGAGTTGTTGAACAGATGTTGCCAGCTTTTTAATGTCTGGCAGCCTGCATGGCATCTCACTAGGGAATTCAGACTACTACTCAGTGATAAGAAAGGATCCAAAAAAAAAAAAAAACAAACAAACAAAAAAACCCACAGAATGAAGTATTGAGAAACTGAGGTAGCAAAATTAGAGGTAGACTTCAATTTATGATTTGAAAGCCAAAGAGAGCTCTCCAGGCAATTGAGCAAACTGCCTTCAGTTGCAGCAACTCTCCTTACAGCTTTGAGTGGCCAGCTTCTAGATTGCCTTGGTTTGTAGTCATGGATAAGCACTCCCTCTGGAAATTACTGAAAGCAGCCTGCCACATCAGCTCACAAGCTTATAAAGTTATATTTTAATTGTGTCATTAAACCTTTCTCAGTTTTGCTTTTGTCTCTTTATCTCTTTACCTTCCTGATTCATCTGGATCAAGCTGTGCTGGAACACGAATATGGTTCCTACTGAATTGTTCTGTTTATTTGCAATAGGACATGTAATGAGAATTGGTAAACCCACTGCCCAGGAGCAAGCTGGAATGTATCTTACTCTTTCTAATAAAAGACTGAGGTTGGAGGTGCATAAGGGAGTACTATAGGAATGTAGTAGGGAAAGAATTTTATTAATGCTTCATTTGATATAAAGCATACTGACATAGGTAGATGGGCAAAGTTCTCAGCTTAGCTATATCCTTGCTTTCCAAATCCTTTTCTTTTTCCTCTAATTCGAAATTGATCTTTGTCTAGCTCAAGGGACTCATTTTAGTGGGCTGGATTAACATTTCTCATCAGAAAGGTTATGCTAAGCAGGTGCAAAAAGTAAATATACTCTTTTGGCTTCATGACCAGTCAGACAGAATTACTACTGGGACTGGGACTGGGGGTAGGAGGAACTGCAGATGTAGCTGCTTTTTTTTTCATTCTAAACAGTGTTTATTTCCTTCTTTGAGGAAATGACTGAATTTTCTTCTTAATTATATCTAGTCAGTTGCATTCTAATCTTCTTTTGTGACAGAAGACCTACAAGACAGGATCTCATCTTTTATCTCTTAACTTGAATCCATAGGTGACTTTAAAAAAGTGACAATGCTTGCCAGATATTACTAAAGAGCATGGGAGATATTGCTGCTGTTGGTTAGAGTGAGGTACAGCACTGACCCCGCAGACACATTCAGTAGCCATTGGTGTGTCAGTTCTAATGCAGTCTCTGCTCTTTATCATTTAGTTCCGCCATCACAAACAGCTGCATGATATAACTTCAGTGACATGCTAGAGAGGTGAGCTCTAGGGACTTTTTGGAAGGTTTTCTGGCAGTAGAATAGATCAGTGGTTTGTTAACACAAGCAAATAATTAAATTAAATACATTAATAAATTGATTTAATGAATTGATTACATAATAGTCCTTAACCTGGGCACACCCAAATTCTCAGCAGTTCTTCAGCTTCTGAGGGAAACTGTTACTACACACAAACGTGTATAAGATGTTGAACAGGAACGATGAGAGGTACTGGCTGCTATCTGAATGAACTTATTTTGCCTGAATATTTCCAGATATTTTTAGTTTTCCTACAATAACAAATGATAGTTCTTTGATCAATTTGATATTGCAGCAAAAGAAGAGAAGGGAAAAAACAGAAAGGAATTGCCATCTGTCATCTTTGTCTAATTATTTTAAGCCCTACCTTGTTTTTATACACTGCAGCACACTATTTTAGGACTTGTTAACTGAGAACTCCTCTAATCCAGAAGAGTATAATTGAGTTCACCTCTAGCAAGTTGCCCACTGTTCAACATGCTGTGTCATCATTTGATGCAATCTTCCTCCCAACATTATGTCATGATTTATTAGTTCAGTCAAGTCTATTTCATCCTGCTCCCCTAGCTGAACTGGCTTTTCAGTGCAAGGCTCTGTTTTGTTGTCTTTTATTCTGTGGGTATATCTGGACGGAGAGAGAACAGGACCGCATTCCTCTGAACTCCTGTTAGCAGTCCAGCACTCTGACATTAGCTCTTTACTTTTTTGACTGAACCAGTAAATGAATGAGGTCTCTGCAAGCTTGGAGGGAACAAATCAGGCAACAGGTATTAATCTGAAAAGATGCTTGCACAATTCATGTGAAAAGCAATACCCAAAATGCTTCTTCAGAGGGGACCCAAGAGCCCTCTCATTTCACGTACCCTGCAGAACCACCAGCTTAATGAACCAGAGTGAAGAAGCAGCTACCTTACTATAGGCTTTCCCAAAATTCCTCGATATGGATTACCTAAACACAGGGCACTTTTTTTTTTTGTTTGTTGGGGTTTTTTTTGTTTATTTTTGGTGAATTGAGACTTATTTTAACACTCTTGCTGAAATTTTTATTGCTTTCTCTTTAGTTTCTTAAAGACTAAGGTGCATGAGGCTTGGTGAAATAGAATCTATCCTAATTTTGTAAGTGCCAACAGTTGTGACAGTTGTAATACTATCTTTCATTTTCACAAATGAATGTTTTCATTTTGATTTGGTTTGTTGGTTTTTTTTTAGTTCCTTCAGCAAGCTGATGTTTTTTAATATAATTGGAAGGAAAGTTTCCAGATACATTTTTAAAATCTAGATATCTTGGATCAGTGTGATTAAAATGTGAGTTAATGAAAAGCAAAGAAACAAACTTTCAGGAAATACTAAAATCTCCCTAAAATTTTAGATCATTGTGGGTCTTTTAAAAAAGACAGAGGGAAATGAAAAATATATTTCAAAGGCTGTTTATGTTTTTTTTATGCAATTGCGAAATATCCTGAGCTTTGGTATACTTGGAGGTAAACTGTGATATTTTCCTCAGGAGAGTAAGACACTTTTCTGTTGAGCGTAAGAACTAGAAGTGGAAAACTAGAACTAGAAGGTAGGAAAAGACTCTTTCCCCCCCCCCCCCCCCCGAGCCCTACAGAAGGGCAGTTTTATATTTCCTGATCATATTTCACTTTGCTGGTCATCTCCTGTTACAAGGACAAGCAGCAGAACAAAGTTATTTTTGCATCAAGCTTTCCTAAACCCAGATAAAAGTAGAATGCATGTACAGAGCCCCAGGGTACTGAAAAAGAGGAATTCAAAACACTTTTCCAAGATTGTTGTTTTCTTCACTCCACAGAATGTAGACTGTGCCAAAAAAATCCAGAAGAATCTCACTTCTGTTTTTCCTACACTAGCACACTCTTAAATTGAAAATTCACACTAATTATTCAAAGAAAATCAATAGACTGCAAGAAGGCAATCTGAAGCTTAGCCTGTCTTTACTTCTTTTTATCTAATTATTTTCTTACTTTGCAATATATTTTGATATTTCATATGTCATTGAAAATTATGTAATCAGTGAATGACATTTCTTCTACATACCTGCCACTAGAAACAAAGTCAAAGGACAAAGAACAAAGAGTATATTCAGGAGAAAAGCAGAAGAAAATCTAATCAAAATATGGAAAAATGAATCATTACTTAAACTTATACTATGGGCTGCATAAGAATGTAAACTAGAATCAGTCATAACTCCTCCACCCTTTTGACATCTCTGTACCTATAACATTGAAAAAATCCTTACTTCAGGAGACTGACAATTAGTGTAAACCTGATAAAGGAGAGAAAATACATACATACCAGCAGTTGAGAAAGGTGCATGGATAACTGTATCATCAACCATAAAACGCAATGCATCTGTATTATAAGAACGACTCAGCCAGAAAAAAACATTAACTGGTAGTAGGCAGCTGTGGCTTTTTTAGATTCTTAAAAAACTTTCAGTTTTTATATATGTTAATAACAATTATTACAGGCCTGGCTGAAGTAAGCATCTAGACTACTATTCCCCTAGTTCAGAAAACATAGAGCAACTGAACGATGAAAGACTACAGAGTGACGTGAAGAAATGACACATTTTTATGGACATCAGAAAGTTAGAAAGAAAGCATAACTTCACAAAACATCACTTATTAGTTACCTGTCCCAGAGAGTAGGTGAAGATTTTGCGAGCCTGCCCTGGAGAATTCTAGGTTGCCATAGGCAGGTTGGCACCCAGGAATTTCGTACCCTGTAGCATGAATAGAGGATAAACCATGGCTAGGTATGGCTCATAAGACATACGAGTGATAACCTAGCTAGATTTGCTGCATATTAGTAGGCTATGGCATAATTTGGTATTAATTATTATTCAGAATATCTTACTTTAAAGCAGTATTAAATCTACAAAACAAGGTGATGTTACAGCACACACATTTAGTGATTCTCTTGTATGACTATTGTAGATCAGAATAAGCATTTATAATTGACCTTATGGTGGCTTTAAATGGGTGCTGCTCCATCTATTTTACTGCAGAAGCATTAAGATTTGTGAATCGAGCCCTTATATTTTTGCATTGTAAACACATCAGATAGATTAAACAAATTTGTGCTTTGTTCAGAGAGGGTCAGCAAAATTCCTTCTGAGCACTGTAGTGAGAACATGTTTAGCAGCTTTAATTAAATTTGGGCTGAGGTTCAATTTCCACATACCAGGTTCCATGCATATCTAGTAGCAGCAGAACAATAGCTGCAAAATGTTTACTGGAAATGAAAAGAACAAAGAGAAGCAATCTGAGCTAGCAATATAAGCTATGAATAGCACACAGCAAAAGCAGATCCAGAACCCAGGAGAAGGCCAACGAGGCAGGCAAATTAGCAATGAGAACTGTTGCCCAACATTAGCATCAAGCAATGCTGGTAAGATTCAAAACACACTGTTCGGTCCTTAGTCAAGAAAATTCTCACTCAATTCAAAGGTGTTTTTTCCTGAGTAAAATCTGAGTAAGGACTACCATATTTGGCCATGCTGGATAACTCATACTGTATTGCTGTGTTCCTCTGCAATAGCAGAAATGCAATGTCCTTGAAGGACAAACTCAATAAAATATCAGTTTTTCCTCACTCAAATGTATTCATATTTATGAACCAGAGTTTTTGCAGAAGTTTTCCCTGTGGTCAGTGAACACTGCACATGCAGAAAATCCTACCTTCCAGTTTTCACTATCAGTTACCAGTGGGTACTGCAAAGTAGGGACCTCCTGGACCATGAACACATCTTTACATATAGGACACATTTCAGAACTGTGCTACACAGAGCAGCAGAGAATCTCAGTGTTTATGGGAAAGGAGAACTCTGCTGAGACTCTTGCCCCTGCTCTAAGCCCACTCTGGGACCAGCTTCATGTCAAGAACTCCTGGCAGCAAGATGATGCTCTTTAAAGCACCCTGAGGAAAAGCAGTAAGTGAATTCCAGTGCATTACTTGTACCACAGAGTTATTCATTGAATAAGGAAGGAACATTTAAGTATCTTTTAAATTATTCCATACCGGACTTGGATTAAGTATGTGAAGATACCCAGAGACAACAGAAAAATAAGGAGACCTGAGGTTTAGGTGTTGTCATCACATGCCCCTTACATCAATATCAGCTTTAAAATTGAAGTGGAGGTGAGAATAAGTCTCTGCAATCTGTAACTCCCTGGTATTATCGTCTCTTCAGCGAACTGTATCACTTCAGATTATGTATCTCTCACAGCTTTTCTGACATTCTCAATCTCAGACTACAAATCTCATAATCAATAGGTGTGTACTTACTTAATACATACCAGTTCTGTGGTCCTTCACTGTGTAATTTTGTTCTCAACTGTGGGTGTCAGGAAAACAGTTCATTGCAGGATTGCAGAAATTGGAAATGGTCTCTACCTGACTCTCCACTTTGCATCTTCATATTTTTAGGTACAAAATTGTAAACTGCTTACAAAACTAAGGTCTTTGAAATCTTAATTTAGAGAAAAACCAGTGAGTATTCTTCCATGTAGTCTTAATTTAACCTATCTCATACCTTTACCTGATATATAAAAATAGCTTTGCTATAGATAAACTTGACAAAACACTTCAAGGTTGTGAGACATTTTGACAGAGAGGGGAGGTGTGCAAATTCGACTTCAGCTGTTTGCTCAGTGTTTTTCCTGACATCTTTTTGGTAGAAAGTCCCATGTAATTGCTTCTTAAATGAGCTAATGCAGAGAAAATCTCTCTGCTCTAAAAGTGGTGGTCGTTCTAAAGCTCCCCAAAGAGACTTAACATCATGTCTCAGACAAGTGTCAGTTGTAGTCAGTCTAATCACATTCTCATGTGCAAGGCCCAATAATAATTAGGAACTGTAAGAGTTATTTATTTGCCTGATTTACAAACACAAGAAAGAATTTGTCGGTTTCTGCAATTTATGTGGGATATTTTTTTATCACTGGAAAACAAGACATCAGCAAAGCATACCAACATTTTTGCTTAAAGCAGCTGTAAATTTTAAAGGAAACAAAATGGAAGAAGCTCACAGTTCTGTTACTGTGTTATTTCGCCTCTGAAATAACAGTTGTAAGAAACATAAGTATTGAAAATAGTGAGCAAAACTATCTAAAAAAAGTACTGTATAAAGTATAGAAATAGAAGTTTACTACAGGAAAGATATCAGTCCAAAAATCCCTTATGACAAAGTATTTCAGATTATCAAATTTTAATATTGCTTTTTGTGATGCTGTAGCATGATGAAGTATCTCATTTTCCTCTTCTTCCTACAGAGCTTCCCTTATCCCTCACTGATGTGATTGAGACCGACTTCACTGTCAAGAGCGGTTTGAATTTGGGCATACTGCTGTAGTAGTCTTGGTTTCCTTGTCTTGTCCAAGAACATGCAGTATGTTACTTCAAATACTGTCTGAGGCTTGTGTGACAATAATCACAAAGGATACTTACAGACCTGTAGCCAATTTGAAAAACATTGATTTCTCAGTTAAACGTGATCAACACTTTATTTCACTGTCTAGAGAAGAGCAAGTAACAATTTGTCAGTTTTGGAGGCAGATGGTGATTGATCTACTGTGGCTGAAGTAAACTCATAGAGACTGCTTTGACTATTTTAGAAATACTGAAAAAAAGTAAACACAATTCCTCTTCTCTTCCCTCTCCATATTTCATAGCTGAGTATAATTTACATCATCAGATACGTATAAAGATCCCTGACTCGCGTACTGTTCAAACGCACTGCTCTTTTTATGGTAGGAGTACTCAGTTAGCATGTGAAGGTGCTGGTAGCAGGGGCACTACAGAGGTGGCTTCTATGAGAAGCTGTTAGAAATTTCCCTTGTATCTGAATGAACCAAAGCCGGTAGCTCCAAATTGGAACTGCTGCCAGCCAAACCCATCAGCAATGGCAGTAGTCCCTCTGGGGTAGCACAGTCAAGAAGTGGGAGAAAAATCCAGCACCCATCACCCCCGCCCCTTGGAACTGTAACCAGAGGACTGAGAATATGAGAGAGACAACTCTGCAGACACCACCAAGATCAGTAAGGAAGAAGGGGAGTAGGTGCTTCAGGCAGCTGAGCAGAAATTCCTCTCAAGCCCATGCGTCCCCTTACAACCTATGGAAGCTATTGTGATGCAAATATTCACCTGTAGCACATAGAGGGCAATGGTAGAGCTGATATCCACCTGCAGCCCATGGAGGACCCCATGTTGGAGCAGTGGGATGCAAGAAGGAGGCTGTGACTCCTTGGGAAGCCCCTGTAGGACCTGTGGCTGTGGAGAGAGGAGCCCACGCTGGAGCAGGTTTGCTGGCAGGACTTATGACCCTATGGGGAGCCCACACTGGAGCAGTCTGTTCCTGAAGCACTACTCCCCATGGAGGAGATCCATGCTGGAGCAGTTCATGAAGAACTTCAGCCAGTAGGAAACACTCATTTTGGAGAAGTTGCTGAAGAACTGTCCCCAGTGGGAGGGACCCCATGCTAGAACAGGGGAAAAGCGTGAGGAGTCCTCTACTGAGAAGAAACGAGCAGTAGAGACAAGAGTGTGATGAACTGACTGCAACCCCCATTCCTTGTCTGTCTGTGCCACAGTGCAGGTAGTGATAAAGAAAATTGGGAATAAAATTAAGCCTTGGAAGGAAGGAAGGATGAAGAGAAGAAGTTTGTTGTTTTGTTGTTTTTTTTTTTTTTTTTTTAAGATTTGGTATTATTTCTCATCCTAATCTAATTTGATAGGTAATAAACTAAACTAATTTCCACAAGTCATGTCTGTTTTACCTGTGATGGTAATTGTCAATTGACTTCTCCCTGTTCTTACTTAGACTCGTGAGCCTTTTGTTATATTTTCTCTCCCTTTCTAGCTGAAGAAGGGAGGGGTAGAATAGCTTTGGTAGGCATCTGGCACCCAGCTCACAGCCAAGGTCAACCCACAGCAGGAAACACATGGCTATTTCACAAGTGCCAATGCAAATCTGAATGAGTCTTCTGAAGTAATGTGGCTTTCAGAAGTTTGAGAATTTAATGGTTGCTCCACTTGTAAGTGGAGAACTTGGTGAATAGACCTCAGCAGTCTCTAAGCAAAAACCACTCTAAATCTTACATGTGTTGAAGGGAAAAGGATTTTCTGTAGAGCAAGAAAGAATGTGTCCTGTTCTGATTTTAGCTTAAAGTAAGTGCTCTTTAAGACCTGAAGGAGATTGGAAAGTCACCTTTAATGGGATTGTGCTATTTATGATTTCTGTACTTGCTCAATTTATCCCTATTTTACCCCAGTATGAAGAAGCACAAGAACTGCTATTTTTATTTTTTTTTGCTTCTTTTAATACCATGCAGCTATTTTAAGGTTATGCTTTTATAAACACTAATAACCCCAGATGAAACATTGACAGAGCAAGGTGGAACAATCACAGGGATACCTTGGAACATACTGTCACGACTCTACCTCCACCTCCCATCCTCCTCACTGAAGAGGTACATTGCAGAGATGCTGATAGAGCATCACAGACTTGCAAGATGCTGTCAGCTGTGCTTGCTACCTACTTTCCTACCAGTCATGCCAATGTAGGTAAGTGGCTGTCACCCCCAAGGAACAAAGGCTGGAGTTAATATAAATGTCAAAGAATACATTTTCTGTGAGGGGGTGGCAGCTCTATTCCTGGAGTTACCCAGAACTGTCTATGACCTCAGGATTAAATAATGTAAAACTGCTGCAAGACAGCAACAGTAT